TGTTTTGATGTTAACAAACAATATAAGAGCTTGACGTTTGTTTAAGTGTTTCAGGTACAACAAGAATCCATTAAGATTCGGTTCTCAAGAATGAAGTCGAAACACTAAACTAGCGTAGAATTTAGGTAGAAACCGATGTAAGGATATGATTTTATATACCTATATTCACAAGCTCAAAAACACTCACAAAATATGTTTAAAACCCTTTTATAATCATTTTCAAACATTCAAAAGATATAAACAAAATTGGAAATGATTTGGACAAAAATGAAAAAATTGTCAAAATGGTCATAAGGTACCTAGGTACCGTATGCACGGGACCCCCCTACCGTAAGGGGTACCGTAAGAGATAGGTACCGCCAGAGAGTTTTGGCCTGAGAAGGTACCTAGCTACCGTAAGCACGGGACCCCCCTACCGTATGGACGTGACCCCCCTACCGTGACCGTTGGGTTACTGTTCCTGATTTGTGATTTTGAATTAAATCAACCCTAATCACCTCCTAACGGCTAATTAACATCTTCCACTATAAATACAAGCCCAATCCTTCATATTTCTTCAAGAAACAAAGCTCTAAACATCCTCTCTTTTTATTCTAAGTGTGTTCATCCTTTTAATCAATTATTTTCAGTATTTTGGCTATTTCAAGAGCCTTAAATTCCTGAATTTTATACACACACTTTGAGCTTGTGTTTCTAGTTATATACTCTCATATTCATAAGTTTGTATTGTATTTTTGAGAGAGTATAATTTCCTTCTATACCAGCTAAGTTTTGTTCTTCATTTTTATATTCTAGCCGTTGTGTAGAATCCTATTTCGTGTTCTTCAAACACACCTTCTTACGGTCGAGAATAGCCGTTAAATTCTCATATTGTATCGGTCGAGGATAGCCGTATAAATCCTTGGATAAAGGTTCAAGGATAGCCTTTGAAATCCTTGGGGGAGCGGTAGAAGATAGCCGTTAAATCTTCATTGTAAACGGTTCGAGATAGCCGTGGTGAAATCTCGGAGTGAATCCTATTGGCAAGGGTTGTTTGCCAAACTAGTGCGGTGCTTTGACGGAGTTCAAGAGACCGAGACTTAGTGGATTCGGAAATCCTTAAGGAGGAGCCTTAAGGTACTGGAGTAGGGAGTTCCCGAACCAGTATAAAATCGGTGTGCATTTACTTTACGCTTTTATTTTTACGTTTTACTTATTGCTTCCACATTTGCCAACACCGTTTTTATTAAACTCCGAAAAGGTTTTTAAACGCCTTATTCACCCCCCTCTAAGGCGTGGGCACAACGACTAAACCGACTAACAATTTTTATATATGGGCTTTAATAAAGACGTGTTAAAACTTTTTATTATATATGGAGAGGTCTAGACTTATTTTTGGAAAATTTGTTATATGTGGAATTTATAATTTAATTAATAAATATATATAAATATTATTATTAATCGCGGTCGAAATTTATAGGCGTGCATCTACATATATTTTTAGAAAATTTTATTATATATGGGCTTTAATAAATAAATATAAATATTTTTATTAGTCAAGGTCAAGGTTTCTAGGGATGGTTAGATTTATTTTAGAAAAAGTTGTTATATATGAATTTTAATAAATAAATTAATAAATATAAATATTTTTATCAATCACGGTCAAAGGTTCTATGAGAGAAATGCATAATATTATTTGTATTTTTTTCATCATAGATATGCTTTTTACTATATATGGAGAGGTCTAGATTTATCTTAGGAAAATTTGTTATATATAGATTTTTTCTAATATAAAGAGCCTATTATATATTGAGATTAACACCATCATCATTTAATTGCAGCGGGTGGTCTAAATTTATTTTAGGAAAAATTTGTTAGATGTGGACTTTAATAAATAAATAAATATAAATATTTTTATTTATAATGATAAAAGGTTTTAGCTGTCGTCTAGATTTATTTTAAGAAAATTTGTTATATATAGACTTTTATAATTAAATAAATATAAATACTTTTATTAATCACGGTCAAAGTTTCTAGGGATGGTCTAGATTTATCATAGGAAAATTTGTTATATATGAATTTTAATTAATAAATAAATATAAATATTTTTATTAGTCACAGTCAAGGATTCTAGAAGGGAAATGAATAATATTATTTGTATTTTTATTTTTCATTATATATATGCTCTTTATTATATATTGAGAGGTCTAGATTTATCTTAGAAAAATTTGTTATATATGAACTTTTTATTATATAATGAACTTATTATGGGGGTGTTTCGTTGTGCAGGTGCTTATTGGCTTTTTTCTCAAACTTTTACCTCCACTGTCTTTTTTTTCTTTCAAAAATGACATCCTTATCTCACTTTGAGGCGTCTTTTATTTAGTATATATTTTTATAAATAGTTTAGTAAATAGCCTTACAATAGGGTTTATTTTTGGAAAATATTCAGAAATAAATATTCAACATAGTTAATTTTAATATAAATGTAAATAAATCAACGAGTAAAAATTAATTATTAGTATAAAAATATCATCTAAAAATGGAAAGAAGTAAATATTCAACATAGTATATTATAATATAAATTTTAGTATAAATGGAAATAAATCAACGGATGAAATATATATTTTATTATAAAAACACTCATCTAAAAATGGCAAGAAATAAATATTCATTATAGTATATTGTAGTACATATTTTTAAATGAAAATAAATCAATTGATGAAATAAACTAGAATGAAAAATTAAAAAATACTTATCTATAAATGGTAAGAATTCAAATAGTCTTGAATAATGATTGTTTTGTAGGGACAAACAAAATAAGATTTAATAATGGGCAATATCTCATCCATTTAAAAATTTAAACTCATTCAAAAGATGTTCAATAAGTAAAAAAATAAGTTTCACTTTTATTATGAGATTGTAAAATAAATGTAATTTTTATCAATATTAGTATTACATATTCCATTGTGATAGAGATAAAATTTTCATATTCAATCCTTTACTGAACTTTATATTTTATTATATATTAATGTATATTCTTCAATAATTATCCAAATATAATTTAATAATATAAATGGAGCCGTGCAACGCACGGGTGTAATGCTAGTTAATCTTTTCAAATAAAACTGTCATCACAAACGATTTAAAATTTTGAAGATCATCTAAAGAATTCCACAAAATTCATTATGCACCTTTTGTCTCATAAATTTATTTATGTGATTTGGATGTTGCACTTATTTTTACCCTCCTTCACTTCTAGTTAGGGGTGTATACAAATCAAATAAAATGTATTTGATTCGTGATTCGTATTTGAAAAAGATGATTCGTATTCGCTATATTCGAATTCGAATCCGAATACAAATCATATTTTAGATTCGAATTATTTTTGAATTCGAATACAAATATTAATAGATTCGATTCGTTTATCATTCAAATTATTCGAATATTATAATCTATAAATAAATTTATATATATTCTAATATATTAAATATTTGTGCACATATAATTATATATATATTTAAATATTATAATTTATAATTAAATTTATATATATTCTAATAAATTTTTACTACATTTTACATTATTATAAAGTAATAATTTAATGTCTTTAAGAAATTTGTTTTAAGAAAAAATTACTAATATTTTCGGATTCAAATATTCGAATACGAATTCAAATATGTCAAATATCTATCGAATCGAATACGAATTTTTTTAAAATTCGAATTATATACGAATCCGAATTCGAATGCATATCACTTTAATCGAATAAAAATCAGATAGTGATATATTTGCTTTATTCGATTCGTATACACCCCTACTTCTAGTTTGGGGATTACACTAGTTTATAACGAGTATTCATGGTGACCTTTAACAATGTCGTATTATTCATTTTTTTTGGTATTTCTAAACCTCATACAACTTCTTTAAAAAATAACATTATTCAAACAAATTTATCCAACACTATACTATATTTAGTTTTCTACATGTTCTATTTTTTTGCAAGATGAAGCTCTGTAACACCCTAATCCGTCCAGGTCTGCAGCCCCTTTCGGACTAAAGTATTAACTTGGTAATCGTAATAATTTAAAACTTTTCAAACACTTTTTATTTATCACAATAATATTATTCATAATAGGTACAGTACAGAGTATTCAACAATATTGCGGAAGCGAATTTAATATTGACATATCATAAATCATTTCAAACTTGTCACATCCATCCCGACAATCTCGCCCCATCTGCTGCCAGGATCACATTGGTCTTTCTATTTTACCTGCGTGTAGCAAATAAAACACACTACACGCTCAGCGGTAAAGCTGAGTAAGCATATCTAATGCATCGAACATCCATATAAACTGAATCTAAATTCATAATCAAATCATTTGATATCATGCACACAATGTTC